GAGATTGTGACCTTGTCATCTACCCCAAAAACAGTCGCAAAATCGCGCCTATATGGGGCAAGGACAACCGCATCACCAAAATTGGACAGATAAACGCCACCTGCAAAGGACACGTGAGTCCGCTGCTTTTGTTGGACAAACTGAGGCAAACGGACATTGCCTTTCCCTGTCAGCGCGTAGACTGCGTAACAAGAGTCATTATGTTCCTCATTGTTCCTCGTCCGGCGGTTCGTCGGAAAAGAAATGGCTGCAGTGTCGTCCAATAAGACCTTGTGGAGGCTCACTTTCTCCTGTGTCGGGCTCCGCGTTCGCGTGCGGACACTCAAGCAAGGCTTGCGAAAAATTTTGAATGGTGCCGTCTGCCTGCAGGGCTCTTGAGACCAATGTGCAGAAATGGAATTGATTCCTGCGTAGCGATGCACTCACACTGCATAACCTTGAAACGCACAGAGTAAGCGTAGCGCTCGACTGCGACTTTGTCCTCAGCATTGACAGGTGTGAAAAAGGTGAGCCTAGTGGCAGGAACTTCATGAGTGTTGCTGTAGCGCTTCCAGTGTTGCTCAGGTTTCTCAAGGGTGGTCCGCCTTGAGGCTGAGGGAAGGAGCGCACTAGTATCTTTAACGAAATACTCGATCAAAACTCCAGCATTTGCCTGATCATAGGCACGTGCAGGGCAACCTCTTGAACTCCTTGACAATCGATGAAGGCGTGTCGCACATATGTGGGGGTAGCTCCGAGGCTTTGAATGAGATTGCGGCCTTGGTCAGCGTCTAGCGTGCCCTGCAAAGACTTGACTTGTAGATGGATCTCTTTAACGACCGAAGGGCATACGCACTCAACGAAGTATGAACGAGTGGTGAGGTAAGTCCCCGCACAGTGTTTCCTCGGGATGAACTTATAGGCTCCACGGATTTTGCTTTCCGGTAAATCGACTGCGTTACGACGCAATGAATCAATGAACGCCTGGTAACGAAGTGGCGTTACCCTCAATGCCAGATGTTGCCTCACGACGCATGCAAAGATGTTACACCGGTAAGCATGTCGCATGATTGCGTCAATATGTGGGCCTGGCTGTGTAGCGACCGGAATACTACACACAACTAAGGCTTGCAGCTGCTCAAAGGCGTCCATAGGGAGAGAAGTGGAGAGATGACTGAGCACATCACAAGGTAACTGCGACACATAGACGTTAAGATTGGGGGATACACCCCTATCACATGCCTCATTGGCCTGCGAAATATAGGCCTCAACCAATTCAAGAGCACTCGAAACAACACTCGCATCAAGTTGCTGATGCTTAATTCCGAACGTAAGGCCCTGCGTGCGGTCCTGTGTGGTTCTTCGAAAGAAGACCTGGTCTCGCAACTTGGCAAAGCCCATATAAAGCCAATCAGTGGCAATGTCGGCTGGCAAAAAGCCGACGGCCGCGCTTAATGAAATAAACCAAGTGGCATTACCGGAATCCACATAACCCTCCTGCATGGGCCGCTCAGCATCATGCTGCCGAATCGTTACCCAGACAGGATAGGCTTCATTTGCTGGAGCACCGGGCTTCGCAGGCACAGGTGACGGGATAAGGTCTTGTTGATCTCTGAAATGATTGATCTGAACGTTGTAATCTGATGAGGGAAGATACTTCTTCCGAACATCATAATAGACGAGGTCTTGTGGGAAGCCCTTGGGGGTCGAATAGACAACCTTAACTTCGTTGGAGGCATCAACCAACGCTAAAACTTCCTTGACCCTTCGTGGTATGGGATCAATCATTACAATGCGCATGTAGGGCTTAATGGTCCCCGCCAACGCAGCAACATCTTCGATCCAAGACGTACAGACCCGGTCAATTCCTGCAGCAAAGGCCTCACCTTCTTCTATAGCAGACGGGAACGACGCAAAGACATCAACCTTTAGATCCATCACAACAAGTTTTTCAAGAAGATGTCTCCAAAGCTCTTTGCACGATTCTCTGGCCGCTATGTCATGTGCAGTCATTCCGGCAGCTGTTAGCGCTTGAAGCCTACAAGCGACGAGCTCAGCTGTGAGTCTGTAGGGACACGCCTCAGTAGTCCAAAGGCAATGCACGGTCTCCAGTACGACCGAAACCAAGAAAAGCCGACTGACGTATGTCAGAAGGACACAGAGGAAATTGCGAGAGGTAAATCCCTTTAGGAAAAGCCAGCGGACCCCTCCCCCCTTAACAACAGCGAGTCACTTGTCAGGCTTAAGCCTTTCTTACAGGAGCTCACGCACTCTTCTCAGATGCAGTCGCCCGGTTTGGACGTGCACAGCAGGCTTCAACTATTATTTGGACGTGTGCAGAGGGCTGTGGGTAAAATCGAACAAAACGCCGACTGACGTATGTCAGAGGGACCAACACCAAAATTAACTTAGAGGCACAGTTCGGCATAGAAAGCCCACTAATGAGTTCAAGAGGCCCTTCCACACTGCAAGACAGCAGAAACTCTTAGAGACGCCACAGTCAAAACTTGCAGTCAGCAGTAAGCTGCAACAAGCACTGCAGTGAGGTAAACCGCCCACCTTCTTGGAAGAAGGCTTTTTGACGCCCTACTCTGTGAGCCTTCCCGGGCCTTCCCCTAAGCCCTCGAAACCACCTAACTAGTAACAAGCCTTCTAGATACGGACTCTCACCCCTACTACGTCTCCACAGAGCTTCTCTTAAGGAATTCTTGAGCCGAGACGCCTTGAGCCAAAGGCTACGGGCACGCTCGATCCGCATGTGCATACGGGCACCGCAGGAGGGGTTCCACGTAATCCCCATCATCATTGAAACATGGCATCTGTATCCCAAAGTGCAATGTCCCTGGCAAGTTCGATAACAAGCGTGTAGTTTTGCACGACGTAGCCCGAAAAAGCATAAAGCAAATCTACTCATCCTAGCACGGGTCTTGCTGGAAGAGCCGCCGCCACCAGCCTTCTACAACTCGTACGCGTTTCTCCCGTCTCTCAGATTGGCCAACGATTCATGGAGATTTGCGTTAAAAAGAGAGTACCTTTGCTTCCGCTTGAGAAACTCCCTTGGACTGGAGCTTTTGCACGCCGCCCTAATCTGCCTCCAGGCGGCTGCTACCATCTGCATGGAATCTCAGTGCTGTCGTAGTGTTTAAACAAAAGGATTTTTACTTTTCCATGCGCTTTAAGGCACACGCGGAAGGCCTCAGTTTACGTGCAATGGCGAAGCATGAAATCGCGAAGTGTGAGGGCTGATCTTGACTTCACAAGCGGGCAAGGAGAGAGACAGTCAGAGAACTGGGCGAGTAGATGCTCCACCGCTTTCAGTAGTCCATTTACGCGATCATTCCACGCAGCGTTAGGGACAGTGGAAGTGGAAGCAGCCAACTTTGGCAATGGAGTTCCGCGGTCAGCACACAATCCCTACAAACGAAACAACCAACAAACAAAAACAAAAGACACACCGGTGAAACAAACGGCACTGGAAGTAAAGCAAAAAAGCTAGCTGCGGCGCCAGGCCTCAGCAACCGATCCACAACAGTCGCCAAAAGCTGTCCAAGACTGCCAGTGGAGTCCAAAGTCGCAGCTCCGGCCGCCGTTCTAGTTCCGTCGAACAACAGTCAGCCCCGGTGTCCTGTTGTGTCTCGATCGTGCACATGAAGTCACAAAAAAACAGACCAAAGCCGGAGGCGGAGTGACCCAACGACGTTTCTCGAAAAGTTTTTCCTTTTTTCAAGGGCCTGCATTAGATTGCTTCAGCACATGTCATGGAATGCATTTGTGTCTCTGCATTCCACTTTGGATCAAGTTGCGGCGAAGTCGCTTCGCAATTTCGATTTTCCACCCAACTCACTCTGTTTCACCTGTGTACACTCCGGCCTCCACTTGGCCCGGCAATGTTCTGAACGTGCTATCCTTCTTCAGTCATGCCTTCACTCTTGTGTTGCACTTGTGCCAGCCTTCGGCATAGCTCCACTCGTTTCACCGCCGTGCCCTGTAACTTGCCTCCGGACTTCTAGCTTCGCCGTGAGTGTGGACATTCATCCGACCATGCTGGTCGCTTCTTTGCTCCGCAAGTAACAAGATTCCCTGATTCGAATCCATGCTTGAGCCTCCATCTTCCATCTGTCTTCCAGAAGAGGGTCTCTTTTTGGGAGAAAAAGACATTTGTCCAGTCAAGAATTTGACACCCCACAGCGCACTCAAAGAGGCCCAGGAAGTGTCGGCTGTAGAGCCTGCAAGATGGGCCAGATGCTGATGCATCGGCAAGAGTCTCAACGTCTGCAACCTGTAATGGACGCATGCTGGCAAGAGGTGGAACGTGTTGCAACTTGCAATGAGCGGATGGAGGCACTCAAAAAAGCTGGTTTCCAGTGTGGACGCCTGCCTGACAGGGAGAGTTCGACTTACAGATGTCCCAAACGTTTGCAAGGGCACCCACTTGACGAAGTTCCCTTGTGCAAGCACTACCCACTCTCCTTTTACATGCTCTCTCTGGAGAAAGTGTTCCAGTTCCACTCTGTAGTGGCCACGAAGCCAGTTTCAAGGACATGGGCTGGATTTGCTTCTCCGATTTAAAGACATTGAGACTTTAAGCCAACCGGTTTTTGAGAGCTCTGGGCCGGAGTGGTCTGAAACAAAGAGACAATGAGACAGCTTCGATTCCAGACCGGTTGTCTCGAAGTCTTATGGTCTCGACGGGCGCTGTGTCACGAAATGACAGACTTCCTCGGTTCTGGACCTGGGAGGCTCCGGAAGCTACTTGGGAGCGACGCGCGCTTACGCGCACTCTTTCGGCGCGGAGGGCGTGGGAGCAGCTCGAAGGTAGCTAAGCTGCTGGCGAGTGCTCGTAAGTTTCCAGCAAGCTGACGGGTGCAGCATTTAAATCCCTTTCATATCCACGGAACTTACCGCATCTCCATGCGCCTGATCTGGATATGTACAGGTACGACTTTCACCGGTTGCGTGAGATGTGTGATCAGTGCAATCCCAATGTTGACAAATCCCGATTTCCGCTTGGCGACAACGACATGCAGCGCCTGCTTTCCAAACGTTCGTGGCCCCAGAAGTCGTCTAGACAGTGCTAAGCACGGCTCCCATCAGGCATTGTGTTCTCACCCGATGGATGAGAACTTTTGGCTTTGATGTTGCATACATCCAGAACTCCTTTTGGTTGCATCGTAAGCTGCTGGCGAGTGCTCGTAAGCTGCCAGCAAGTAGCTCGTAAGCTGCTGGCAAGTGCTCGTAAGCTGCCAGCAAGTAGCTCGTGAGCTGCCAGCAAGTAGATCGTAAGCTGCTGGCGAGTGCTCGTAAGCTGCCAGCAAGTAGCTCGTGAGCTGCCAGCAAGTAGATCGTAAGCTGCTGGCGAGTGCTCGTAAGTTGCCAGCAAGTAGCTCGTAAGCTGCTGGCGAGTGCTCGTAAGTTGCCAGCAAGCACCACGAAGCTGCTTCGAAGAGGCGCGCCCTTAAAGTTCCTTTTTTGCCCGTTTTGCAAAGACTTTAGAGCCCCTAAGATCGTCGGAGCTGCGGGCCGTAGGCCCGCGAATCGATAGTGCTCCGAAGTACCGAATTCTAACCCATGTCTTGAACTGAGGCCTGTAGCTATCACAGAGTGGAGTGCTGGAACACCCTCCCCAGAGAGAGACAAAAGCCCCCGTTGAGACAACTGAGACAATGAGACAACCGGTTGTCTCAATGTCTCTTTGTCCCTGTCAGGTTAGGCACACACTGCCAAACCTAACTTCTCAAGCAGTGACCGACGAAATCGGTAACTGCCACAAGACAATGAGACAACCGGTTGTCTCAATGTCTCTTTGTCTCTCTCTCGTCTTTCTGTAGCAAGCAGGCAAGTATGCACGGAATGCATAGTTCCGTCGGTCTCGGAGAAGTGGGGATAATATCCCCCACTTACTGAGACAGCGGTTAACTGTGAATTGAAGGATCCAGTCCTTCAATCTAGTCCTTCAGTTGCTAACTTCATTTCCAGGAAGGAGCTCACGGCGTGAGCGCCTTCGGCAACGGAAATCCAGCTTCTCTCAGCGCCTCTCGGTGCTGCTCAGTCGAGCGAGCGTAGGCTTGCGGAACATAAGCTGCGAGAGCCCACATGCTGCCCTGGTGTGGCTCCACCAGGTGATATCGGCGAGCATTGAAGCTGACGGGCTTGTCGTGCATGTCCAGCCATCGTCCCCGCAGCTCCCGGTCGCCCTTCTTGCCGGCCAGCATCGCGGTAGAGTCGCCCTCGTCGTCTTCGATCCACACTCGCCCCCCGGTGTAATCGCCGAGAGCCAAAGCATGATTCAAGTGCCCTGGCATGTTCTGAATGTCACGGTGCAGGCCCATGCGAGGGTTGAAAAGCACGGCGATGCGGCATTGAGGATGACGCCCTGGGGAGTGAGAGCCCCTTCGTTGCCGTGGGCCACCGAATCAGCGGTGGTTCCAACGATCCTCACTGGGCACATCGAGCTGTGGGTGCAGAGCACGGCGAGATGGATGGTTGGGCGGCCGATGGGTGGCCGCAGGCTGGCGAGGTGCAGCTGGCTTTTACATTTGCGGGCGAGTGGCAGCCTGCATGCGAGGACTTGCCTTCCGGGATCTGCAACTTGGAGGGTGGGGCTTACTTAGGTTCCTTCCTGTATGCTGGTTCAACGGGGAGTGTGTTGCCGGGTTTGATGTTTCAATCCAGGGGACTTCTGATCAATCAGTGCACAGTCTCTTGGCCTGTTTGCCGGTGCATACGCTACCTCACGAGCTACCGAGGGATGCGGGTAGGAGAAGCCTCGCATCCAGGGCCAGGTCAGAATGCACAGAAATGGAAGCGGGCGGCGCAACAACAGGCTGCCCAGCTAAAGCAAATCATGCAGCTGCTCCAAGCCCTTCTTGGTTGCATAAAGGGCGGCGGCATTGCTGAGATTGGGTCTCTACTGGCTCCCGCCCTTGAGACTCCCAGAGACCCGCGTGCTAAGACGCGCGGCCCCAAACCAGGCCCCAAGGCAAAGGCAAAGGCTAAGGCAACAGCTAAGTCGCAACCAACAGCACGTGTGCCTGCCCCGCATCAGCCTACTTTGCCCTCACATACGCCAGTCATTGACGCCGCTCCTGTAGCGGCCAGCCCGGAGTCACCTCAGGTCCCTAAGCCCCGCCGACAGGCGCCCCAGCAGGCAAGTCAGGCGGGCCAGACCGTCACCAGAGCTGTGTATGCACTTAGGCCTAGCGATTGGCATGGCACAGTGCTTCCGTATGAGAATTTGGAACAGGAGCTTCGCAATCGTGGCTCGGGTCCCATTGTGGTTTTGGTGGGCAGCGCTCAGGAGGCCGATGTGGCGGCCCAACTCGTTGCCGGCCACGGCCGACATGCAGCTTGGATTCTTTATCGTGAGCGGCAAGCCCAGCTCACGGTACCAATGATGACAGGAGGCCAGTTGCGGCCTCAGCATGTTTGTTGTCAGTCTGTGCCGTGCTTGGGTGTTGCGTTTCCTTCTCTGAAGTCGGCCCCTCGCCCGAAGGCGGCCCCCACTAACGCTACATGTCCGATGCGAGTCATTGTTTGCTCTTCGCTTGCTGCCGAAAGCTTGTGGAAATCCGCGGCCAGTCAGCCTCGACGTTTCCTTCAGGATTGGGTCAAGCAGGTTTTGCCGGGGCAGCTCCGTGGGGTGGTTCAGGACTCATGGGGTTTTGCCGAGGGCCAGCGTTCCGGGAACAAGGTTGTTACCGGACTTATTCGTATTGATACTGCAGTTGTGATTCCTTTGCTGGCGGTGTCAGGCCGACTTGGAGTATTCTTGGAGCCCGTAGCCCACCATCCCGCCTACCCCAATGCGGTCGTTGATTGGCAAAGGCCGGCGCCGGGTGAATCGTGGGCTCAACTGTGCCAGAGACTAGGGGAGCAGAAGCCCGCTTACGGTTTGGTGTTGGGGGGGCGGCAGCTCGGCCTTAGGCGAGCCCCGGGGGCAGATTACGCGCCCAAGACCTTGTGGCAGATAGTCGGAACACCCGTGCATTGGTCCGACTCCTTTCTGCGTGAGCTCATCGTTGGCAAGACACCGGCGGCATCTGCTGAAATTCTCAGGCGTCAGGTTCGAGGTCGTAGGTGCACGTGGTGGGTTCGCGCCGCCATTCCGGGAGGAGAGGATGCACATTGCTTGGTCGCTGCGGAAGGGGCACAGGAGCTAAACGTTTGGATGCTCCCCTCCACCGCTAAGCCCCCCCCAAGAAAGCCAGGTAGGCCCATTGTCCAGCAGGGGGCCTTCTCTTTGTTTAGGGCGCCTTTTGAGCAGGTTGACAGGCCCAGCACCGCCATTCCCGTTTCAGATGACTTGGAGGTCGATGCCGATGGTGATGGTGATGCTGATGCTGGGACTCGGCCCTCGCCACCGCCTAAGCGTGCTGCGGCCAACTTCGTAGCACGTGTACTGCCGGAGGGAGCGCAGGTCCACCCGGTACCGGGAGACGGGGCCTGCTTCTTTCATGCGGTCTCTAAGGCCCTTGAGGTGTTGCATGATCGCAAGGTTTCGGCCGCACAGGCTCGAGCGGAGACGGTAGCGCACTTGAGGAGATATCCTGATGCTTACATTGGTTTTTGGGGCCATGTGGACGACCACGGACAGTTCGTTGAAAGCTACTCGGACTATCTTACCAGAATGGCGTCGGCAGACGCATGGGCCGGCCACATGGAATTGGTTGCATGTGCAAAAACCTTGAAGATCTGTCTGCTCATATTGCCGGAAGATACCTCGAGAATCACATGTTGCTTTGGTAATCCTGCCCATCCCCCGGTAGCTCTCTTCCATACCCGCAATCATTACGACTTGATTCTGCCATCGGAGGGCACTGTGTATCCAGGTGTTATCATGGACATAGCCAAGGAGGGGCCTGATCCCCACATTCCGCGAGCAGGATCCTCGGCGCCATCGTCGGCTCCATCAGGCCTTCGTCCATTTGTTGCGGGGCGGGGACGCCCGCTTAGCACTCCTTCCATTGCTTCTTCTGCGCCCACGGCTTATCGGCTCGCTAGGGCTAGGCAGCCAAATGCTGAATGTCAGTATGCGGTTACTCCGCCGGCGGGTGACTCAAACCGTGGTGGGGACGGTGCTGTCAATGTTGAGCGTTCTTCTAGTGCTTCTGCATCGGTTCACAACGCTGCTTCCGGGCCCTCTCGGGGCTCGATTGCGCAATACTTTGGTGGCGCAAGCCGGGCTCAGGCGTCGATTCCTGCCCCAACCACGCCCGAGATGATTGCTGATCTGCCTGATGCCCCTTCCCCGCCCCCTCCTCCCAGGGTAGGCTCTAGGGGTAGGTTGCTCAAGCCGCTCAAGCCCAAGCGCTGCATCCAGGACTGGAAGTGCGACTGGTGTGACTTTGTGGCGAAGGCCCCCAGGATTAGTGACAAACGCATTGCTCATGTCAAGCAGTGGCACCCTGAGCATTTGCAATCGATTAAAAGACCTAGGTTGCCTGAGTTTCGGGTTCCGGCGGCAGCTGATGTCGTGGCGTGGCCGTGTCCATGCTGCGATCGGGCTCTCATCCGAACCGAACCCCCTCAGAGCCCAGATACTATGCTGAAGACGCGACTCAAGCATTGGCGGGAGCACCATCCTTCCGAGCCTAAGTCTAGGTTTCTGTTGAAGCTTGCTAGGTCCAATGCCCCCAAAGCCACCCGAGCCGTCATTTCTGCGGCTACGGCCCGCCGCTTGCTTAAGCACCGCTCGGGAGGATTTGGCAATCACCAGGAGATTGAGTTTTATCGCATCCCGTGGATGGGCTCCAAGCACAAGAAGGCCAGGGCTTCGCGCATGGTGTACGTTTGCACGGCTTGTATGCAGACTGCTGATACGCCCAATCGCATCAAGAGTTTGACATGTGTGCGGGGTCCGGGCTCTAGCCCTCGTGCGGGCTTCATCGCACGGCTGCGCAAATGCATTACTGAGGATCACCCGAGTGAGCTGCTTGATGGTGCCCGTGCTTTGTTGGATAGGCTCACTGGCGACGCTCCGTCGGCTCCCCGCCGCTTCACTGGCAAGCGCAAGCCACCGCCGGCTTTGCGCAAACATGATATCCTCGCCTTGGCATGGCCCACCGTGTGGCGGCGTGCTTACACTTTTCGGCTGCGCTTCATCTGCAAAGTTTGCTGCGCTAGTCAGTCCACGCGTGCCAACCTTGGGAACCGCCCCTGTGGTGTGACTGTGCGTGGCGCCGCCCGGCTCAGGCGTCAACTTGAGGATGCGGCCGCTTCTAATGACGCTGCTGCGGTGAATACCGCCCGACTTGCCTTGCATGCTTTGGGGCATGTGCTTCCTGGCGCACCTGTTGGGGCGCCCGCTCTCCCTGTCGTTGCTTCTCTCGCCGAGGTTGGTGCTGCTGGTCTTCGTGATGATCCGGTCGTCGCGCACGGCTTGCGCATCAGGTCTGACACTGCTGCTCCGTCCGCGGCTCCTGTGTCCGCTGCTCCGGCGTCGTCTGCGCCCACTCGCCTGCGCGTTTCGTTGCCTTAATGAAGGTTGCCGTTGACACTCTTCGCTTGGGCACGCTCAACGTTGCCACTCTTGCGGGCCGTGTTGCCACCGTCATTGCTTTGTGTGTCACGCTGGGATTGGACATCTTGGCGCTGCAAGAAACTCGTGTGCCTCAACACTCGCGTGCTTCGGTTGAGGCGGCTTTTGCTAAGGCGGGCTGGCATTGCACTTTGGGCCCGTCTGCGGTGTCCACCGATGGCAAGCCTTTGTACGGCACTGCCATTGTTTCCCGTGTGCCAGTTGTTCCGTTTGCTTTGCCGGAGACGTTGCTGCCACAGGGTCGTGGTTGCGGGGTCCGTGTGCATCGCGCGGTCGGTCGTCCGGTGCTTTGCACTAACCTTTACCTTCCTGCTTCCTCTGAAACACAGGCCGCTTCGCACCTGCGTGACGTCTTTTCCTTTCTTGCGTCCACCGGCGAGGAGTGTGTTTTGCTTGGTGACTACAACCTCACGGCGCAACACGCCCCACTCTCTGAGGTGAGGGCTTTGGGCACCTGGAGGTTAGCTGACGAGGTTGTTTTGGGTGACTGTGTTATGCCTCCCACGCGTCGGGACAAGCATGGCCAACCTTGTGGAAGATGCGTGGACTTCGCTCTTTCCACTGCGGGCCTTCCGGCTTTGGCTCGTCAGCAAAACCGCGGTCCTGCGGATCACGACTTGGTGTCATACGACTTTTCTTTTGCCCGTGACCTTCGGTCGGTTCCTCGTGCTCCGGGCCGCCTGCCTTTGGTCTCTACCGCGGGCAGATTCGATTTTGTCCAAATCAGTGGCCTTATCGTGTAAAAGCGTTGAGAGGCTTGCTGACCTTTTGCTGCAAGAAGCACCTGACCTTGACGATCGTTTCTCTAGCGGTGCATCGGTCTCGGCTGGTCTTTACCATCGGATCAAGGTTGGCCTGCGCAAGGTATGCGGGTCACACCCTTCATCGGTGCGAGTTCTGAATTCGCTCATTTCTTCAATGTCACCGGGGTTTTTCCACTCATCTTTTGTCCTGATCGACGGCATTGCGTCGGAGGCCCACTGTGATACTGCCAACTCGGACCTCCCCAATGTGGTCATTCCCATTTCTTGTTTTTCCGGTGGTGAGTTGCGGGTTGCGCACCCCTCCGGGGCTGATGTGATGATGCATGATGGCGTCAAGCACTCGGCCGTCTCTCTTCCTGTGTGTCGCGGCCCCGTGATCTTCACTGCATCGTCTTGCCTTCATGAAGTTCTGCCCTTTGAAGGCCGCCGTCTGGTTCTAGTGGGTTACACACTTCGAGCTTGTGAGTCGCTGGCTGCCGATACTTCCGCCCGCCTTTCCTCCCTAGGGTTTAGGCCTCCTTCCCCTTCGGTCGTGACTGGTGCTTTGCCCATTGCACCTCGTGCTCTTGCACTCACTGAGGAGCAGCGGGACTTGCTCCCTCGGCCAAATTCTGTCAGTGCGGTCGCTTCTGGCCACCACCTCCGGACAGGGATTTCCCCTGACTTGCCTCAGTTGCCTATTTCTGACTTCGTCTCTGACTGCAATTCGGGGCGTTTCTTTCTGGATGTCTGTTCCGGGGCTGGGGCTCCTGTCAGCGCGGCCATGCAAGCCTTGGGCAAGGACTGCTTTCAACCAGTCGACATCATTCATTGCCAGGATTTCGACCTTCTGGAGGATGAATTTTTCGCTCAACTCCTGGCGCTCTGCTCCAGCGGCGTGGTGGGAGCGGCTATTGCATCTCCGCCCTGCGGGGAATTCAGCCTTCTCAAACTGCGACCGGGTGGACCACCCCCGTGCCGCACACCGGAGGAGCCGCTCGGGTGCATTTCCAACGATTGGCATCAATCTATGGTGGCTCAGAACAGTGCTCTACTTCACGATCGATGTCGAGAGCTTCTCTCCAGTGTCGCGGCTCTTGGAGGCTGCATTGTTTTTGAGCAGCCGCCATCTTCCATGACTTTCTTGACGGAAACAATGCAACAGTGGATTTCCAGCACACTTTCATTCGGTGCCCAAGTTGCAGCTTGTCATCACGGCATGGATGTGTCCAAGCGCTGGCTCTTCTTGTCCAACAGGCCGGATATCCTTGACCTCGCGTCGGAGTGCCATCATGGATCCAGGGCGCACAAGGCTGTGTGGGGGGTTCGTGCAGCTGATGGGAGTTTCCTTAGCCGAATGACGGCTGCGTACCCGAAATCGCTGGCGGCCGCTTTGGCTGCGCTTCTGGGAAGGTACACTTCGTCTCAGGGCCGGCTGCTTCCATGCGCAGAGTGGCGCTCTGTGCTCCCCATGGACCCTGTTTGGCCTCAGCTGAGTCGCCGCGTTGAGGATGGTGCGGGTGTCAACAGTACAGCGTGCTGGATTACTCCACAAGCCGATGACCACCTTGCAGGTCTTCGCAAGAAGTGGACGCAGCGTCTGGTCGACAGTCGTCTCTGTCTCCGCATCTGTTCCACTTTGCGTGCTGGTACCGATTGTCCACCTATCAGCGCGGAGGAACTTCAGCCATTTCTCGATGATCTGTGTTGCTTTTGTGAGGTCCCTGAATCGGAGATCGAGAATTTTCTATCGATCCCACCGGGACAGCCTTTCCGCTTGAACGTCCTGGAGAAGCTGCTGGCTCTTACCAAAGACCCTGAATCGGATCTATGCCAGCATCTACGGAAAGGGGTGCGGATAGGTGTGGACCACGAACTGCAGCCCTCGCCTCATTGGCCACTTCGCACAGCAGATCCGGTCGTGTCGGACCTCGTGATTTGCGAAGGCTCTTGGAAGAGTGCCTCCGACCACCCGGATCAGGTCCGGGAGCTCCTGGCCCAGGAAATCGCTGAAGGCTGGATCGTGGAGAGACCTTCGGTTCAGTACCTGCACGATAACTTCCCGGCGGTGGCTATCGGCAAACTTGGCTTGGTTCTGGCTGAAGGTAGGTCACCTCGACTCACGGTTGACAGCTCTATTAACTATTAGTGGTGTCACGGCCGCTTGTCAGATTCCAAATCATATGCTGCTGCCACGCATATCCGACGTCGAGGATTGCGCTCCCTCCTGCCTAGGCCGTCAACCTTGGATCACGATTTCCTTGGATGTGCGCAAGGCTCACCGCATGGTCATGGTGGAATACTGTGACCAGGCTTTGCTGGCCTTCACCTTCGAGGGAAGGGTTTTTACGTCCAGCACCCTTAATTTCGGGGCCCGAGCTTCCGCTTTTTGGTGGGCCAGAGTTGGTGGAGCCCTACTTCGTCTGTCGCACGCAGCGATCTGGCTTTCACATCTGCTTTGGGGCTACGTGGACGATTTTCTGGGAGGCTTTCGCGGCGATGTGGCTCCGATCTCTGCCTCCATCTGGATTCTCCTGCTCTTAGCACTGGGAGTACCACTTTCTTGGCCAAAGTGTGTCTGGTCGTCGGAGTGCATTTGGATTGGATGGTCCATCAATCTTGAAAGTTGGATTTGTGAGCTCCCGTCTGCTAAAATTTCCAAAATTCTTGATCAAATCGCTGAGCTTCTTTCTGCTGGGGACAAGGTCAGGTTCAAGACTTTGGAATCACTCATTGGACGTCTCTTGTGGGTTACAGGCTTGTGGACGGTGCTTCGGCCTTTGCTGTCCCCACTTTATGCAGCTCTGCAGCGCTTACCAGCTTCCTCGGTTGGTGTCAGCCCTGAGTTATGGGCTGCGATCAAGCGCAACATTGCTGAGGATTGTGTGCTGACCCGCTCGGTTGGACATCCGTCCTTCCATAAAGGTGCTTGCATCACTCGTGCGGCCAATACCTTTGTGTCTTGCAAGCAGGATCTTGATCAGGTGCCTTTCAGGAAGCGCCGATTGTGGGTCGAGGTTAAGGATCCTGGGCATCCACTGCGAGTCCTCGGGGATGTCGGCAGGTCAAGCTTAATTGCTTGGCGTGCCATCTTCCAGGGAACCCCATTCTTGAAGGCGCTTCGCAGCCCGCTCCCTTTGAAGGTCATTGCGGAGGCGGATGCTTTTGCAGATGCGGACGTGTCTGGGCTAGGAGGCTACGCCATGTGGCCCAGTGGTCGCACTGTCTGGTTTTCCATTAGAAAAGACAGTCAGGAGTGGGCTGCTCTCACTTCGTGGTTTCCTCCGCCCCTCCAGACACATATTTCGGCGTTGGAACTCCTGGCTCAATTACTGCTGCTTTGGTGTGTCTTCGCCACTCTGCCTTCCAATCGTGGACTATGTCGGGCTTGCCTTCGTTCGGACAACTCCGGTGCGGAGGCCTGTGCCTCCAAGGGCCTTTCATCGGTGCTGTCCATGAGCGAGATTGTGAAGAAGTTCCTTGCGTTTCAGGCGTGGTCTGGTGTACAGGCTGAGATCGAGCATGTACCTGGGTATCGCAATGAACTTGCAGATGCGCTCAGCCGGCTTACGCCGAACGACATTGCACCACTGCCCTTGGGTGACCGGGTGCATCCGCCTCTGCAATGGCTTCTTGAGCAGCGGCTCTTTCTTGAACCAGCTTCGGCCTCGTGGCCGCCTCCTTTCAAGACTTGGATGAGTAGACCCTGAGTGCGATGTTTCTTGTTACTTCCAACTGTTTGCAGGCCTGTTCGCCAGCGGCGAAAATACATCGCGGTATGCTTCTCTGCATTGTCTGGAGCCTTATTGCTGAAAGCTGCTCTGTTGTCATGCCGTGCACGTGCGGGAGCTGTGCGACCGGATGATCTTCAGCACGCTTGCTGACGTCGATCATGCGTGCCGCCCCGGCCATATTGGTTGGTACCGGCTCCTTCTTGCACTCTGAAGCGGACTTCGAGCTTCGGCTTGACGGAGTTCGTCTCTTAATCTGTGATGCATGACTGCTGCCGGCCTCGCTTGCCTTCCGCAGTCTTTTACTTCCAGTATCCAGAGGGTTTTCTTGCTTTGCACCAACATGTCGGGCCACTCGGAAGAATCTTCTTCCCGTCTTTCCGGGGCTGCTCCAGAGTCGTCTCCACTTTCGGGGCCGGTTCTACGGGAGGCTGATCTTGGAGCGTTGGGGGCCTGTCCTCCGCCGTGTCTCCAGTGTGATCTCCTTCGTGCGGAGGTGCTGATGCTACGTGCTGAAGTTGCGAGCCTGCGCAACTCCAGCTTGGCGGCACTCTGGGATGCGATCTATGCCTTGCAGGGCCAGCTCAACGAGGTTCGCCCACGCGGCGAGGATGACCATTTTTCATTCGTGTTTACGGCGGTCGAAGAGAACACTGCAGCTCGACTGCTGCGCTCGCCTTTGGCGAATGTTCGCTGCCTTCGCTATCATGAACAACGTCTGGACGCCCTTGTCAATCTCAATGCTGACATCGAAAGGCGACTCCGCTTGCTGGACTTGGCATTGTCTCGAGTCTCAGGTTAGCTCTGACAGCAGGTTTTGCATCTGAGTGAAAACCAGCGAATGTGTTCTGCACTTCGTGACATGTTTCTCGATTGATTTCGGGTCTTTTCCCCTTTCCGGGTCGCGAAACGATTTTTACTTGGCTTTCGACCCTTTCATTCCCTTCCCTCTGCCCAGTGCGTTTCCCCTTTCCCTTTGGAGCTTGCTCTCCACGGTGGGACGGGGTTTGAACGTTTGCTGCATTGGCTGGGGGTTTCGTCGGGTTGGTCGATCGTTGACTCGGCATTTCCTTTCGAGAAAACATGTCGTTTGTGTGCGTGCACATTTCTCTATCTTTCGGAATGGAATTATATTTCGATTCCGTCTGCTCCCATTTTGGGAATATCTTTCGGATATATATGTTTATATATATTTTGACTGGGAACTTGAACGTATACGGACTAAGAGGGCTTCAAACGATTTTCGTTTTTGAAACGATTTGGTTTGCTAGCCCTCAAAGCCCGGAAGGCAAGTTTTGATTTTCAACACATGCCTTTTTCCTTTGCGCATGCTTGGACGTGGCAGTGTTGAATTTCGCTTTCGTTTGCCTTTTGGTTCAAGTTCCTTTTCTGGTCAAATTTTTCACCCACCACCATCCCCTTGCACCCGCCTTGGGGGTAGTTGCGGTACGGCTTTCGACCCTTTCATTCCCTTCCCTCTGCCCAGTGCGTTTCCCCTTTCCCTTTGGAGCTTGCTCTCCACGGTGGGACGGGGTTTGAACGTTTGCTGCATTGGCTGGGGGTTTCGTCGGGTTGGTCGATCGTTGACTCGGCATTTCCTTTCGAGAAAACATGTCGTTTGTGTGCGTGCACATTTCTCTATCTTTCGGAATGGAATTATATTTCGATTCCGTCTGCTCCCATTTTGGGAATATCTTTCGGATATATATGTTTATATATATTTTGACTGGGAACTTGAACGTATACGGACTAAGAGGGCTTCAAACCGCGGAAGCTGTTTCTGTTGAGTCTTGGAACGACTGTTGGGCTCCGTGTTCTGTGGCGTTTGCGGAGGCGTTGCAACAAGGTGACTTGGACCACGCGTGGACTTTGCTTAGTGACGCTGCTGAGGATCTTCTTTTGGATCCTGAGCGTCCTGCGGGTGGCGCTGCGCGCAGCGCAGGTCGATGGTGCTTGAACCTAAACCCCGCCCTCCGCAGTCTACTAAGGCGCCCACGGTGCAAACTCACAAGGAGCGCAGTCTTCGTCGCTTGGCCCGCCGGGCCACGGAACTTAGTCGGTCCCCGGACAGTCCTGACGCTGCTGTGTTGCAGCGTAAGTTGCGTTCTTCGGCTGCGGCGCTCGGTCTTTCGTTTCAAGGTGACTTGCCTCGTCTGGTGGAGGAGGCCCTGGAGGCTGCTGCTGCGCTCGAGGCTTCCTCGGTTGCTTTTCGGGTTGCTAACTGGCACAAGTCCCTTCAGTCTGACTCTAGGCGGATGCGCCAGTGGATCCAGCGTGTGCCTGCGGCGGACCCCCGGCCGTTAGGTGATGCTCCTGTGCACCCCCTTGACATTGCTTCGCAGGAGCATGCCAAGTGGAAACAACAGTGGACGCGTGCGCCTGCACACTCTGCTGTGGAGACTTGGAGGTGGTGTTTGGCTCACGGTCCTCCTGCGCCTACTTGGACTGAGGATGATCTCCATCCTTCCGCTCAGGCTCTCCAGGCTTGCATTCGTGCCTCCGCGCGCCGTGCTGCCGGGCTCGACGGCTGGACTCCCCAGCACCTGGCGCGCCTTCCCCTGGACTTCTACGAGCTCCTCGCGCGGCTTTGGGCTTCCTGTTTGTTGCGTGCTAGCTTGCCTCAGGCCTGGTGCAAGGTGCGGGTGGCTCTGTTGGATAAGCCGGACGGTGGCCGGCGCCCTTTGTCTGTGGCCTCTGCCCTTTGGCGTGTGCTCGCCACGGTCGTTGTTCGCAAGCTCCGTTGTTGGATGCTCACTTGGGCCCCCGACGAGCTGCTGGGTTCCATCCCCGGCCGCTCTGGGGCCGACTTGCACGCCACGTTTGCCTGTGACGCCCACCGTGCCAGGACCAACCGTTTGCCGATTGCGGGTCATAAAGCTGACGTTCAGAAGTGCTTCGACTCTGTCTCTTTTGACCAAGCGTTCGAGGTCGCCAGGTGGTTGGGTGCGCCTCCGGCGCTCTTGGGCCTGCTTAAAGTGTTTTATGCCAGGCAAGAGCGCCATATCGCTTGGCAGGGTGCTTTCCACCCTACCCCTATCGCCCCCTCGATGGGGCTCCTTCAAGGTTGCCCTTTCTCTCCGCTTCTGCTTAACGGCGTGTGCAGTTTGTGGGTGCGTGTGGTGAAGGCCGCCGAGCCGAGAGCTTCTCTGGCGGTCTACCTTGATGACAGGACTGTCTGGCGGGTGGGCAGACAAGCCTCCCAAGTGGTGGTTACTGCCGCTCGTGCTGGCACTACCTTCGACGATTTTTTCGGTCTCAGGTTGCACCCCGAGAAACTTGGCTCCTTTGCTTCTACGGCTCCTGAGCGTGCGGCTTTGCAAGCCGAGGCCCTGGTTGTGGGCGCGGTGAAGACGCAGTTTGTGCTCCTGAGGGTCCCGTACGCCTTCGGCACTACCTGCCTTCCTGACACTGCGGCTCTTACCTCTACAGTTAAACGTCGTTGTGAGCGCGTTGCCCTGGCGGCCGCTTCGCTTCCTCGCAGGCGCGCCCTGGTTCAGGAACTGGTGCTGTCCCTCTTTGCTTGGGCGGGCCCGTGGACCCACTTCAAAAAGGCTGATGTCGACGCTTGGGCTCGGGACGTTGCCCACGCCCTGTGGGGCCATAAGCCCCCCCTTGCCCGCTCTAGACTTCTGTTGTGGCACGTCGTCGGCCGGCCGAGCCATCACCCGGCCCACGCTTTGGACTGGGCTACGGCCCGGCGTGAATGGCTGAGATGCTCGGTCCCGGATGCTTTTAGCTTGGGTGCTGCCACCATCACTCCGAGGTGGCCCGTTCTTCAACGTAAGTGGGGTTGGAATACTGCCCAAGATGGCTCCTGGATTACGCCCATCGGGATTCTTCGTCCTGGCTGGGATGGGTTAGCGTGCCTTAAGAGAGCCGCCGACTACGCCTTCCTCCAGCAGGTCTGGGCTTTGGACCCGAAGAGCTGTGAGCATGACCTTTCGTTGTCTCTTCCTGCCTTCGGCCCGGCGCGTCGTTTTGTTGAGGGACAGGATCGGAGCATCCTTCGCACTGCCACTGCTTGTGCTGCTGACGCCCGCCTGCTCCAGCGGCTGCAGCATCCTCCCTCTAGAGCTCAACTGTGCTGTGCCTGTGAGGAGCCTGAGCCTACTAGGACTCACTTGGCCTTTGAGTGCCCTTCCGCGCCCTGGACTCTCGAGCGTGGCCTTCGCTGCGAGCGTGCTCTGCTGCTTAAGCTGCTCCCGCTCCCCCTTTCCCAACAGGTGCCGCGCCCACTACCTGAGCCACAGGTCGACTCTGAGGTCGTTGAGGCGTTGCGTCAAGCTGCCGCTACCGGCAGGGTGCTGTGCGCTTCGGATGGCGGGGCCTTCTTTCGTGCCCAACTTGAATGGTGGCAGCGCGCGGCTTGGGCTGTTGCCTTCGAAGGTACCCACAGCAGAACAGTTTTCGGAGGCCTTGTGGCTGGTCTTGACCAGTCACCGCACGCAGCCGATAGGGCTGGGCTTTGGCAGTTCCTGCGCCACCTGCGCTGCGCTGATGTCCCGGCCACGCTCTACCTTGACAACTACGCGCTCGTTTTGCGTCTGCACAGGGGCCTCCTGCACGACAAGTGGTCTGGAGCCAACCCTGCCTTTTGGCAAGCGGTGGCGCAGGTGATCCGCCGCGATCTTGTGGTCGCCTGGGTCCCTTCCCATGGCAAGCATGCCAAGTGGCAGGCTTTGGAGCCTCAGCATACGGCGCGAATCCGCGCCCTCAATGCTGCTGCTGATGCCAGGTGCACCACCGCACTGTTGCAGCTCAGGCCTGAGTGGGATGCTGCGGTGACACGCTTTGAAAGAGCGGAAACTTGGGGAGCGAAAGCGCTCTCGGTTCAACACAACGCGTGTGCCCCATTTCATGAACTCCTCAAGAATTTGCATGGGTGAATGGCGCATTAGGCAAGGCAGCGCCTGACAGCTGCTTCTTCCTCTGCCCCGTCCACTTTAAGCTTGGACCTTCCCCTAACTTTTGCCTGTGTTTTCCGCCTTCGGCGGCCCTACCCTACTTCCCTAAGCTTCCCTTCTTTTGCCAGTGTCTGTCGCCTTCGGCGACCCGAACCTGAGCTTGCCCAGGAACCTTACTGCCAACGTTCGAGGGCGGAGCACGTACCAGGTGATGAAGTCCAATCTGTTATACACACTGCGGGCCATCTTCTGGTTTTGCCGGTGGACATTGGCACGTTTGCCTTTCTGTCGCCGTGCCTGACGGCGTCTGAACTACTAACCTTTTGGTACGGTGCAGGTTGACGTCGAGTACATAGTTCACTTCCTGCCAGAGGAGCTCGACGTTCCCGCACCGCCAAGTTCCCTGCGGAGTTCAGCGCCTACACGTTACCGGCTAGAGAGAGCTACTACGCCGAACCACCGGGCCACACGGGCGGCGCCGAAGTCGTCCCCGTCGCAGCCAGTGCCAAGTTCACCGAAGAGACGGAGACCGAGGAGGGCTCAGCAGTCCGGGGGTGGTGGCCCCAACCCTGCCCCTGCCTCCTAAAGTTGCTTGGGCACGCGGGACTTTGCCCTCCCCGCGTGCAGCTTTTCCTGGGCCGGGCAACTGAAGTTCGAGGGAACCCAGTTGCCGCACACGTCACATGGGATGAAGTCCAATCTGTTCTACACACTGCGGGCCATCTCATGGGGACATTTTGGTTTCTCCTACAGATTTCTTTCTTGAGCGCGTCTAAACTACCAACCTTCGGGTACGGAGCAGGTTGACGTTGATAAGAAGTTCAAGTTCAAGCACGGCGATGGAGGTCCAGGTGCCGTTCGGAAAGCGACTCTTCAAGAAGCGGCTCACTGCAGTGCAGGCCGCTTGCTTGCTCGTTGCGTTGGAAACACCGCACACACCCCCGTGCCCGAAGAAGCCCAGGGTGCAGTACTTCTCGAACGCTCCAGGCCCCACGACGCGGGTGCGCACTTGATGCTTCCAGTCCGCCGACCATCGGTCCAACAGTCGCACGAGGTTGGCTTCGGTGGGCTCCTCCACAACATTCTGGCACGCTAATTCCATATTTGACATTGCCGACATTTATCACTCCAAACGCCCATGGCCCTAAAACACCATGCCGCACCCCAATTTTTTCGGATTTTGAGCCCGCCCGCCGGGACTGCGCCCCGACGGCCCCCGGCAGCCGGCCGTTTTGCGAGTCGACCACGCCTCGGTCCATCTCCGATTTCGGCGTGCCCCCCGCCTGGGTTTTGAGCACGATTTCGGCCGAATCGCACCTTACCTGTCGAATCGGCGCCAGCCCCGGAACGTGGTCGGGGAGGGTTTAGGATGGGTCGAACACAGCCACACGGAATCGCCGGGCATCACGGCCCTGCCGCGGTCCCGATTTTCAACACAACCCCCGATTCTGGGCCCGCCGGCCAGAAAGCGACACAGCCAGCCCCGAGAAGGCCCGCGAGACCAAAAAGACCTTCCCGGGCCGCTTCGCACCAAACTGTGGCGAGGGCGCGATTTCGGTGGGTGCATCCCTCATAGGTTTGGCTCAAGGTTTCGCGGTTTGGGGCGTTCAGTGTCGATTGGTGGAGAGCCATCGCATTGCCCCCATGAGTTTCAGCGCACCCAGTCGTGCCATTCGAACGCAGCCACCTATAGGACAAGTGGCTAAGGAAGACCATCATGTCTCCAACTTCCCTACAAGGTTATTCTGGGAAGGTTGGCGAATTTTGAAGATCGAGCGCCTGCCAAAAAGCTTCGGATACCCCGCTGACCATGCCAGCAGATCCGCAGAACCATGTTTTCCTTACTCTGTCAGGCTAGTGCAAGAAAGTTGTTTGCAGACGATGTTTCATGTGAAGTGTTTCCTTCGTGGGCAGGCATTGATGGTAGGGCCTTTTGCGCAGGTGCTTGATGGCGCAAGATTTGATGTGTCCGTTAATGCAGATGTTGGCACAACCCATTGAGTCGAGGCTTGTCACTCAAGCAGTCAGTTGCGGCATTCATGAACAGCGCACGTTTTGACAGACTGTTTGCCATTTTATCATGCACACATTGAGTATCCACGTTGTGGGACACGTTAGATGTTCTCTGCCATGAAGCGACCTGCAAAAGGTGGAAAAGAGCGACCTGCTAAGAAGCCTCGAACGTTGCAACCCATTGGACATGTGGTTCGGGAAGACCAACATGTCTTCATTTCTTTGCAAGGTTCTTCTGAGCGGGTTGGCGAATTGTTTGAAGGCGGACATAGTGTTGTCTTCATCCGCAGCAGCGTAGCCACCAGCAAGACCACACTGGCGGAGCATTTGGCACGTCAGTTTCCCGACAAGTGCGTCATGGTGCCCTTCACTGGCGCAGGGGAAGATTCTGTTTGGGAGAGGCGGACTGTCGGCGACGAGTCAGAAGATCACAGACGACTTGGACGTGGCTTTGGAGCTGGCGGCAAAACGAAACCTGACCTTGGTCTACGACGAGGCTCACACGCTTGTTTCCTCACGAAAGCTATGCACAGCACTTTTGAAGAGCAGCACAGGCTACGGACCAAGGGTCTTGCTTTTTTCAGCCGCAGGGAGGCTTCGTCTAACCAGCAAATTGTGGCTACACCCGCTGAAAGCACCCAGAAGTTCATGTGGACGCCTCCCTTGAGCCACACCTCGGAGCTTCAGGAACAGATGAAGCAAGCCGGTGTGATGCTTGACCAGAAGAGCATCCAGTTCTTCATCCAGTTTTGTGGTGCACATCGAGGCACCTTCATCGCAGCAATGTATTGGGTGAAGAGCAAGCAGACGAGTGGTGAAAGCTGGGACTTCAAAAAGACGGTGGAGTCTGTGCGGAATAGCAATAGCAATGGAGGGTGGGCTTGTAGCGACGCCGAGATTCTGAGCACTTTGAAAGGGAGCCACGCAGTGAAAGTCAAAGGACGATACAGCTGTGTTAGAGCTCTTGTGTGCAGGGCCACGGCCCATCAGACAAGACATTCGGAGGGAGCTCATCGTGCGTGCACTCAGCAAAATGGTTGGAAGTTGAATTGATTCGTCCGTTGCAGCTGTGCCTGGGTGCGAGCAAGTTCAGCGTGGTTGTCACTGCGTTAGAAATTGGTGTCAAACCTATTCGCAAATGGCCGCGTGCCGTCACCGAAAGCCCAGTACAGTCACCCAAAAGCCTCGTACAGTCACCCACCGGCCCGTGCAGTCATCCCGCTCTATGCCGCTTTGCGCCTTTTGGCATAGACGGAAGGGCAGATGCTTGATGGCATGAGATTTCATGTGTCCGTTAATGCAGGTGTTGGCACAACCCAATGAGTTGATGTTTGTCACTCAAGCAGTCAGCCGCAGCCTTCATGAGATACAGCGCACCATATGTTTTGGTAGACTGTCCGCCATTTTATCATGCACACATTGAGTATCCACGTTGTGGGACACGTTAGATGTTCTCTGCCATGAATCGATCTGCACAAAATGGAGAAGAGCATAGAAGAGCCACCTGCTAAAAAGAAGCGAATATTGCCCCCCATTGGAAAGGAAGCTGATGAAGAGAAGCATGTCTTCATTTCTGTGGAGGGTTATGCCGAGCAGATTGAGAAGCTGTTTGAAGGAGACCATGAGTTTGTATTCATCCGCGGTGGCGTGGCCATCGGCAAGACCACATTGGCAGAGCATTTGGGCCGCTCTGAGAAGTATGTGAAGGTGCCCTTCACTGAACATGGTCGTGACGATGCTTGGAGGGTGAGCACAGTGGAAGCCGTGCAACAAGCAACAGGCAAAGTTGACAGAGCTGGTTCAGCTTTCCGGAGTGCGCTGAAGCAAGCCAAGGACAACAACTTGACCCTGATTTATGATGAAGCTCACACACTGTTCCTCTCTCCAGACCTATGCTCAGACTTATTCAAAGCAGACATACACTATCGACCACGGGTCTTGCTGTTCTCAGCGTCAGGTGATGCTTCAAGTACATCAAGCCTCGCCATGACAACGCGAAGGGAAATCAGCCGAAAGGTTATGTGGACACCACCTCTACCCTGCACTCTAGACCTGAAGGAACAGCTGAAGGAAGCTGGCGTCAAGCTGGACAAAGAGAGCATCGAGTTCTTCACCAGCTTCTGTGGTGGGCATCGCGGCATTTTCATCGCTGCGATGCACTGGGTGAAGAGCAAGCAGAACCCGGCTGACAGTTGGAACTTCAGAAAGACGGTGGGATATGTGCGGAACAGCTACAAGCAGGGGAATTGGAACTGTGCTGACACAGAGCTTCTAGGGTTTGTGCAACAGAGCCGTGCAGTGCGTATCAATGGTAGGTTCCACGATGTTGAACGCATTCCTCGGGAGTTTGTAGAGCTTCTTTGCAAAGGGGCAACCAGCATCGCAGAAGCGGACGTTCGGAGAGAGCTTACCATCAATGGCTTTGTAGTTCCCAAACCTGACAGAGGCATTGAAGCAGAGTTCCAAAGCCTGGACTGGAACAACGCGCATACGGAATACCAAGTGGCGAACCCTCTACTGGCTTCATATTACCGCTTCATTCTGCAGAAACAGTGCGCTTTGGAAGTTGGCAAAGGCATTGAAGTGAATCCCCGACACTGTGCAGACTTGCTGATGCGAGCATTGCCTTACATGCTCTTCTGCAAGGTTGTGAGTTTTGAAGGAGATGAGTCTGAGTTGGCGACAGATGGTCTTCCGCATGAACAGCAGTACAACAAGGCCGCCCACAGTGTGCTTCACGACATGGGCTACAGGACCTTTGCCCCAGAAGCGTCAGGGACGGGCAAGGGGAAGCCAGACCTTAAGGTCCAAATTGGTACTACAACGTTTATCATCGAGGGCGCAAAGGGCAAAATCCCTGAGCACCTTGAGCGTTTCCAAAATTTCGAAAACTACAAGAATGCCGAGCACAAGGGTCTCTACATCATCAGCAACAACAATGAGAAGATGCTCGAGACCGTGAGGAAGACTTCAGAAGGCGATGTCCAAATCATAGGCTTGGTCCCCAACATCGCCCACACCGCATACACCGTTCACGTGAAGAGCAAGGGGATCAAAAGCATCAACACCTTCACGGTGGACTGCGACCTCGTGGCAAGGAGGTTGGTGCTCAAAGACGATGGCGAGCCTGAGCTCTACAGCGTCCAATCGCTGAAGAGCGTCAACCTGTCTCCAAAAGCTCAGAGCAGACGCTGGGTGAGAAGTCTGGTAGTATGGTTTTTCTTTTGTCGGTCACCGTTCTCTGCTTCGGTGTTTCGGAAGTGGTTTGAGACCGTTGCTCCAGGTGCTAAGACATGTTACCATGGAGGATTCGAGATACCAGCATTTGGCGTTCTGTGAGGCAAGACCTCTGAACCCGTCGTCTGGGTGCGGGAGCTGGCCCTGAAGGACGGCGTTGTGTGCGCATGCAGTGTTAGCCCTGTGGTGGAGTTCTTGGCCGGGCTTGGTGGGGGCGCGGGGCGTGGGGGAGGGGCTGGGCTCCGGATTGCTGGAGTGTTTCTGAGCGTCGGCAGGGGCGGAGCATGACACGTCGCGCCGCGCAGGATGGGACGGTCACCGCCAAGCTGAGGCCCAAGGAGGATTCCGATTGCCGGTCGTTTTGGGAGCAGCGCCTCTGCGCAGATAAGGTCTCGTCAAGACCCTGAGGGCGAGGATGAGCTCGAGCCGGTGTTCAAAGTGGAGTCCCCTCAGGCCATCGTCGCCGTGCCATGTGAAGTGGAATTTGGTGGCTGCATTTCAGCAGGACTACCCGCGCCTCAATGATGTGGACCACTTGAAGAAAGCCCCGGCCTCGGCATGCTTCCTTTGCTGCCCGTCCCGACATTTGTGCAAGTCACGAGGCCATCAAGCAGATGAACCCCGATCTCAAGGACATCGCTCCAAGGCATATCGACATCTACTTGCAAGAAGCGCGGAGCCCCAGACTGCCTTTTCTGTTGGATCCTTCCCTAGCCTCCGATTCTGGCAGGCTGGAGCGTGGCGACGCATCAAAGACGAATCGGAAGTCCTGCGTCGGGACACCACCAGGCCCAACCCTCGGCTCTGTGATCAGCCATTTGACTTCCACATGACGGCATCACTGCTAGGCTCGACTGCTACGGCTTTTTGCCGTGGCAGCGAACTTGAAAAGGCCGGGCGATGTGATTTGTCAAGGAAATCGGAGAATCAGTGCTGTGCAGGCACCATCTAGCTCTGCACATCCTTTTGCACGGTCTCTCTCGGTTTCACATGTCAAGGTTTGCGATGTGCATCATGCCAGTCTTCGGTGTGGTCAGTTTTGCTGCAAGTGGCGCGCTTAGATCGGCAGCAGTAGCGATCTAGGTCACTGCTGTAGTGAACTAGATGACTGCAGCAAAGATGTCACTAATTCCTGGCCACACCACGTTTAGATTAAGCTCTCGTGTCGTGCAGGTCCCTAAGTCCGGCCCCTCAGCGCCCGAATCCTCCAGAACCCTGAACCTTACTAGGCTGCCCTGTGAGTGCCCTGCGGTGGCAAGGAGCCGACACAGTCGACCGCCGTGAGCAGCGGATGAGCCCGGATGGTCCACCCTCCTTGCACAATTGTTTGGTTTCTTAGACCTAGCCTGAACCTCGTTTTTTTTTTGATGCTCTGGATGCTCGCCGATGCGATGCTCTGGATGCTCGCCGATGCGATGCTCTGGATGCTCGCCGATGCGATGCTCTGGATGCTCGCCGATACGATGCTCTCTGGTCCGGGGGGAGGACCCCGCTGAGACATTGAGACAAATGACCCTGGGATCAAGGCAGGGTGTCCACCAGATCATTCCCAGGAGGAACCCCGCTGAGACATTGAGACATTGAGACAAATGACCCTGGGATCAAGGCAGGGTGTCCACCAGATCATTCCCAGGAGGAACCCCGCTGAGACATTGAGACATTGAGACAAATGACCCTGGGATCAAGGCAGGGTGTCCACCAGATCATTGCCAGGAGGAACCCTGGTGAGACATTGAGACAAATGACCCTGGGATCAAGGCCATTTGTCTCAATGTCTCAATGTCTCACCAAGGTTTCTCCTGGGGTCCGAATGTTATCACCCTCCACTGGTATAGAGGCGGTTGTCTCAATGTCTCACCAAGGTTTCTCCTGGGGTCCGGATGTTATCACCCCTCCACTGGTATAGAGGCGGTTGTCTCAATGTCTCAATGTCTCACCAAGGTTTCCTTCCAATCCCTGGTTTTTTTTTCTGAGAGATCATGGTGGCGCCGTGGGCCCGGGATTAAAATCTCGAAGTTGCCGCACCGCCAAAGGCACCGGCCGCCGAGTCAGCCGCGCCTTAGGCTCCGCGGAGCCGCGGGGCACCGGAAGCGCATGCTTCAGCAGAGTCTCCGAACCGTCGGTGGCCCGCACCGTCATCGAGTCGTAACTCGAAACCTGCCGCACGGCCCCGTACTGGGGCTGGAAGCTCCTCGCCGCATTTGTGGGGGCCCGGAACGCCCCCGCCTCCTCGAGCCGCCGCTGACGGCTCCTCGTGAGCTCGTCGTTGTGCTTGAACTTGGCCGCATTGTCTTGATAGACCCGGAAGCTCGCGGCCGGCATCGTCTCCACATCCTCGGGGGCCACCGTCACGGCCGCATGCGGCCTGGCATTGTAGGCTTCCGCCGCCTCTTCCACATGGTCGCCCCAGCCCCCACCGTCCCGGCGGGCCACCTTGCCCGCCAGATCCTTCTTGAGCGTTTGAATCGCCCGGTCCACCACCGCCGTCGCATTGCGGTCCGAGGGGTCCTTCTGCCGGTGCACCGCGCCTCCGGGCAGCGCCGCCTCCAAACCCCGAAACTCGTTCCCCATGTCCGTCGTGACGACGACGTTGGTTTCGTCCTGGACCAGCTCGGGGATGATCTCCGCGGCCGCTCGGGTAACGGTATCCGCCCGCTTGTCGGGCAGGGCCTTCGTGGCCACCTCCCGGGTGAACACATCCGTCACCACAAGCCCGTACTTGTTCGCCCCCCTCGTGTTCTGGGAGAAATCCACCAGGTCCGCTTGCAAGCGGTCGTTCGGCCCCTCCGCCGCGCTCTTCCCCAAACTCCGCGGCTTCGGTGCGAGCACCTGCCGCGCCGCTGCGCAACGCCGCCTGGGCCCGCGCACTCGTGAGGTCCCGCCGCTCCGGGAACTCCCGGCGGGCTATCTGGTAGAGCTTTCTAGGATCCCTCACGTTGAAGTCTCTAGCTAGCCTCCCTAGGAGCTCCATTGCCCCGTCCTCTGCCATTTAAATGCTATTAGCCCAGATCATATCTCAGCAGATGGTCTGGGCTAATAGCTTTTTTGGGCACACAAAGCTTCGGAAACCGCTATTCCTCCAGTCCGTCGGTGAAATCGACGCACTGGAAGAATAGCCCTTTCGGGGCCCAAAACACACCCGAAACCGCTATTCCTCTCGATTGCCTGTAGAAAGGCGATCGAGATGAATAGCCTTTTCGGGGCCCAAAACGCCCTCAAAAACCGCTATTCATCCAGGCCATACCTGGATGTACACCCTGGATGAATAGCCCTTTCGAGGCCCAAAACGCCTCAAAAAACTGCATTCCTCAAGGGTCCGTGCTGATACGGAGCCTTGAGGAATAGCCTTTTCGGGGCCCAAAAACACACCCGAAACCGCTATTCCTCCAGGACTCCAATCAACTGGAGGGCTGGAGGAATAGCGGTTTCGGGGCACAAAACACCCTCAAAAGCGCTATTAGCCCAGTTAGGCAATCTGGGATAATAGTCCTTTCGGGCTCAATCCGAGTCGCCCTTGCGGCCCTTCTTCTTCTCCAGCTTCTCCACTCGCTTCTGCAGCTTCTTGACCACGCCCCACAGCACCACGCTAAGCTTCTGATAATCAAGAGCCATGAGCTCCCGGCCGTCTAGGTTCTTTGTTTTGCACATCGTGGCGCCCAGCTTCCCGCTGGCCTGCACGTCCTGCGCCACGAAGCCTATCTGCTCCTTCCCGCCGTCGATGCGGTCGTAGATCTGCGGCTCCACCGCATCGAAGGTCTCTTGCAGCTCGTCCTCCGGGATGGCCCGGACGTTCTCTTTTAAGGCCCGGTCGCTCAGGTTGACAAACCCGTACCCGAAGATCACCTCCCCGTCATTCGATCCTCCGTTGTTGGGCTCGACGGCCAGGTTCGCCAGCCCACTGGTCGTGTTGATGCTGATGAACTGGTCCGACGCGTTGAGCTGCACGCCGCCGTTGGCCAGCGCCACCAGCTCGCCCTTTCCTCCGGCCAGCGTGTCGTTCTGAGTCGTCAGGTAGAGTCGCGCCACGCCCGTGGCGGACTGGTTCTTGACCGCGAGCTCGCAGAAGCCGCCCGGGCCCCCCAGCCCCGTCACCTCGGCGTAGGAGGAGTTCACCTGCACCCCCGACGATGTCGCCGTTAACCCGCAGGGTGTCGTTGACCAGGACGCCCCCGACGCCGCCCTCGAGCGTGAGCCACTGCTCCGCCGGATCAGAGCGCACTAGCGGGGCTTCCAGGCGGAGGTTGCTCACGACCTCCAGGTTGGCCGTGACGCTGCTGTTGGAGTTGAAGGTGCCCGTGGCGGCGACGCTGCCGACGAGCAATTGCGCGAAATCCGCCGTGGTGGCGTGTGCTGGCCGCGGCCACCGTGACGTCCCGGTCCAGGCTGATGCCTCCGTCGGCGAAGGAGGCCAGCAGCGCCCCGTCCTCCTTGCGGATGGTGACCAGTGCATTCTGGACCTGCAGGTTTCCCGCCGAGCTCCGGAGCTCGGGCGTGTCCACGAAGCTCGTGGCCGTCAGGCTGTTGACGGTGATTGCTGCGTTCATCGCGGCGGTGTCCGAGTAAGGCGCCAGCGCTGCCGCTATCGCGGCGTCCCGCTGCACCACGGTCCCGTAGGCCACCAGCGCATCTGTGATGGCTTGGGTCATCTGCAGCGTGGTGCTGTAGTCGGCCAGCTGGGTGTCGGTGTAAGTGTTGGCCGACGCAATCGCGGCCACGATGTTCGCCGTGGACTCCGCCCGCGTGAAGTAGTCGGCCAGAGCCGCCGTGATCGCGGAGTTGGTCTCCAGGGTCGTGTAGTAGCTGCCGAGCTGGGCGAGCACCCAGGACTCGCTGGCCTTGGGCGCCAGCAAGGCATCCGCCTCCGCCTTGGAGTAGGCGTCGCAGGCGAAGGACAGGGTCCAGTCGTCATTGGCCAGCTGGATGCTCAGCGGCGCCACGGCGTGCAAGTTGCGCACCGTGTTTGTTCCGGCCAGCAGGTCCCAGGTAATGTTCGCGGGCCAGGCGGGTGCGTTGACCAGATTGGTGGCACCGCCCAGGGTGGCGATTTCGGCCAGGAGCCCGTCGATGGCGGACTGCAGGGAGACCTGCAGGGCCGTCAGTTCCCCGCTGGTGGCGAAGGGCCCGGCATTCTGCAGTGCCAGGATGGCTGCATCGGCGCCGTCCAGCCGGCTGTCCTGCAGCGCTTGCCCCGCGTCGTAAGCGCCCTGGGTGACATACCCAAGCAGCGCCGTGGTCAGGTCGCCGCTCGTTTGGTAGCCCGCGCCCTGCAGGGCCGCAAGCAGCGCCTCGGGTCCCGCAGGGCGAGCGCTGCGTCGAACGCGCCCTGGGCCACATAGCCCAACAGCGCGTTTGCGATCTTGGTGTCCACGTCCAGCGGCGTGGTTCTGAGAGCTACGGCGGCCGTGAGGTCGCTGGTGCTGGCCATGGGGAGCAGAGGCGTGGCGACCCGCTGGTCGACGTCGGCCGCTGATTGCCGGGCGGCGACGTCGAGGGCCAGCTGGTCCACGACACTTTTGAGCGCATAGGTTGCGGCCACGGTGGCCAGCGTTGCAATTGTTGGCGCTGGTCACGGCGCTGTTCATCGCAGCATTCGTGGGATGGTTGGCCAGCTTGAGGTCCACCGAAGCGGGCGTGCTCTTAGAACCTGGAGAGCATCCAGGGCCGACTGGTTTGCCTTGGTGGCCAGGCCCTGGGTCAGGCTGGTGTTCGCGGCCGTGATGGCCGAGGTGTTGGTGTTCAGCTGGGCTTGGGCCGTCAGGAGGTCGGCCTCCAGCGCGTACGGCCTCAGGTCGGGGGCAGCAGGCAGGGCATCCACCTGGCCCTGCAGCGCTGCGATGGCGGCGGCGTTGACTCCGATGGCCGCGGTGTGTGCCGCAGGGTGTAGGCTGTGAGCACCGTCGCCAGCTGTCCAGCACTGATCCCTTGCAATTCAATGACCGGCGGCTCCGTGACGCCGTCGTCAAGGATCCTCCCGGTCAGGGTGGAGGGAAAGAGTGACATTTTATCTAGTGCCCCCGGGCTCTGTGCCGGCGGTCCAGGCTGGCGGCGTGTTCTAAGGTGC